GTATATTTAGTTTGTCTATATATATATATATATTCCTGATCAGCCTATGACAGAAAATTACTTATCCAGCCCCACATCTTCGTGTAGCCCCCATATAAAGGTTTTTATTTTTAAGAAAGAAAAAGCTTATTTTTTTACTTGTTCTTCATCGTATAATTTCAATTCAATTACATTTTCATCAATTCCTTAAACAATGTGTCAATACCTTACGGCCAACAATAGTTCCTTATATCTATACTTAGCATAAGTCTTATTTTTCTAAGTTTATCTATATAATACTTAACTGAGGCTATCGTAAAGCTGTAGCCTTTCTCGATACTATTTTAATTACACATATACTTACAATTATGCCTATAATTATAACATTCTCCTTAAAAAGATTAATGAAAACTGGAGACCCCAACGTGTTTTATTTTTTAATTTCCACACCTGATATATGAGATTTTCTAACTTGAGCCTTCCAAGCCTTCGATGATAGAAGAGGAGTTGGTCTTCACTTCTTCGTGTAATTTCATTTCAATTAGATTTTCATCAATTCCTTAAACAATATGCCAATACCTTACGGCCAACAATAGTTCCTTATATCTAAACTTAGCATAAGCCTTATTTTTCTAAGTTTATCTAGATAATACTTAACTGGGGCTACCGTAAAGCTATAGTATTTCTCGATACTATGTTAATTACACATATACTTATACCTATAATTATAACACTCTCCTAGAAAAGACGAATAAAAACTGGAGTCCCCAACTTATTTTTATTTTTTAAATTCGATACCTGATATATATAGTTTTCTAATTTGAGCTTCCTAAATCTTCGATGACAGAAGAGGAGTTGGTCTTCTCTTCTTCTTTTAATTTCAATTCAATTATATTTTCATCAATTCCTTAAATAAGATGTCAGTACCCTGCAGCTAACAATAGTTCCTTATATATACTTAGCAAAAGCCTTAATTTTTCTAAGTTTATCCATATAATACTTAACTGAGGCTACCGTAAAGCTGTAGCCTTTCTCGATATTATATTAATTACACATATACTTATAGTTATGCCTATAACTATAACAATTTCCAATGAAAACTGGAGTCCCCAATTTTTTTTTTGTTTTTTAATTTCGATAACTGATACGATAGGGTTATCTAACTTGAACGTCCCAAATCTTCGATGATAAAAAAGGAGGTGGTCTTCTCTTCGTCGTGTTATTTGAATTCAATTTTTTATCAGTTCCTTAAACCATCTATCAATACCACACGACTAACAATAGTTCCTTATATCTATACTTAGCATAAGTCTTATTTTTCTAAGTTTATCTATATAATACTTAACTGAAGCTGTAGCCTTTCTCTATCCTAATTACATATATACTTATATTTATGCTCATAATTATAACGTCCTCCTAAAAAATACTATTGAAAACTGGAGTCCCCAATACCTGATAGATAGGATTTTCTAACTTGAGCGTCCCAAATCTTCGATGAAAGAAAAGGAGTTGGTCTTCTCTTTGTCGTTTAATTTCAATTCAATTATATTTTCATCAACATCTGTATACAATATGTCAAAACTTTACGGCTAACAATAGTTACTTATATCTATACTTAGCAAAGTCTTATTTTTCCAAGTTCATCCATACTTAACTCAGGCTACGAATATTTACAAAGGATGCTACTGCAATAACTGATAGACGGGGTTTTCTAACTCGAGCGTCAGAAAACCTTCGATGATTGAAGACGAGTTGGTCTTCTCTTCTTCGTGTAAGACAAAACCGAGTTACTTAAGTAAGCAAAAGCACCAAGTGAAATGAGAATTATTCTTTGGGCGTTGTTATGGCTACACAAATGGGTTGATGCTTTGTAGAGCAGTAAATCAGTAAGCGCTCAGGGCAATATAAAGAGAGTCTGGTTTGTTAAAGTGGTACACTTTTCCCTCTGTTGTTGATGTGGTTTTCCAAGAAGTCGTTGACGGTTGTTTTTTGGTCAAATAAATATTTGTTTTGTTTACACTATTTGTTTTAAATAAATAGCTCATTATGTCTTTCTCTTAAATATTGTAAATTATGTTCGACTCTCTCTCAATGTTCTGCATTGTTTTCCTCAATATTCTTCTATGATTTCTTGTTTTCTCTTCAACTTTTAATCAGCTAGCGTGCTTCTCACAGTTCTCTTTTCTCCCGTGTAATTTATGGCTGTGTTTTGCAAGTCGCCTGTGGCTGTGTTCAATTAACATAAGCTCTTATGAGTGAAGTTGGCGGCAAATGGTCGACTCCCAACAACTTGAGACTTCTATCTAATTTAAAAATAAATCCCGTGTAATTTATGGCTGTGTTTTGCAAGTCGCTTGCGGCTGTGTTCAATTAACATAAGCTCTTATGAGTGAAGTTGGCGGCAAATGGTCGACTCCCAACAACTTGAGACTTTTCTATCTAAATTAAAAATACCTTGGATGTTCTCCTCAGATATTTTATACTTTCATGATTATTTTGAGGATTTTCCTTAAATTCCTAGCAACGATAGTTTTTTTTAACATTTTTTGTTGCAAAATTACGTTACAAAAAAATTGCACCATATGTGTTTTGCATCAGTTTTTTCTATTTGTTTTTTTGCCCAACTAAAACAAATCTGCCACAAATATAACCCATTTTTCAATTTGCCTTTGACACCAACACTTGTCATTCTTATCCAATTCATTGTCCTTCCTCCAAAGGATTTTTGTTTTTGGTTGTGGACACAAAAACAAGTGTCACAAACAAGGGTTTGTTGTTATTCCGAAAAAATCCCTCAACCATGATCGTAAATCCTTGTGATTAGTGTTTGATACTTTTGCTCAAAAATTAATTTCTGATTATGTTATTGTTTAGCTGGTTGGACTGGTTGCTTGTTTGTTTATTTGTTTGTTGTCTCGAGGAGGAGAAGGCCTGGGGGAGGAGAGATCGTAAATGCAAGGGAAAAATGCCACATATGTTAGCAGTTACCCAGTTGGAACAACAACCTCTGGCTGGCTCTCGACATTTGACAAGAAAAAAGTTTTAGTTAGCAAAAAGGTTCGCCGCTACCAACTGATGTTACCTACCAGCTCATGTGCTGGGTGGTGGTGGTTGCTGGCATGTAGTTTTTCCATTTTTTTGGGTGGTTGTTTTGTTGTTTTTCTGGTCCTTTAACTCCAAAATCATTGTTGCAGAAATTATTATCTCTTTGTGTCCTTCCTTCTGTTGATATTTTGTTTCAGTCCGAATGCATTTTGCGCCGCCTCTGGCTCAGGCCTTTTTTCCATCCATCCATTCATCCCATTGCATATTTATTTTTTTGTTCTCTTGTGAAATGATAAATAAGAAAATGAGATAAACCCATAGATTACACCCTCTAAAATGCGACTCAGGCTTCTGGTTGGAATGTGAGCTCTAGGATTACACATGTAGCACCGCAAAACATTAAACCTCCCTGGCTTTGGTGGAAGATGTTCTTGAATGGATTTAATTATTTTCAAATTAGACTAGAGAACCAGGCAGGGTAGAGGAGGGGTTGCATTGTCTTTTTTGTTGTCCTTTGAAGAGTTTCAAATGAGGATGGCAATGATGATGCACACGTAATGGAAATTTGAAATGCCTTGTTTGTTGTAGTTTGTAGTTGTTGTTTTGTTGCATTTAAGGGTGAAGTACTTGTACTTGAAATTTGATGAGCTTGCCGGTGTTCACCACAGCCAGCTAGATAGATAGCATTATCCTGGTTTAGGTAACTCATCTGGCCCAATAATAATGCCTTAGCACTTGCGGTTTTTATGCCCTACTGATTTTGTGAGTGTGCGCGAGCCACCATCCAAAAAATAGACAATTTTTACATATGGCAGAATTTTTGTAATAATTTTCTCTTTGATTCCAATTGCCTTGATGTAGGTTAACAAGAATTGTAAAAACCTGTCCCAACCTTGGCTTCTCGTTTGTAAATTTGATGGATGAGCTTCTGTGACAGCTCTCTAAGAGCTCTAGACATATGTTCGAATATTTATGGTTGATGGATAAATTTTAAAATATTTGTTTTTTTTTTTTTTTTCAAGGTGAATGGTTGTTGATTTTGAAACTTTTTATTGAATTGGAAAAATTGCAAATTAATATGGAAAAAAATATTTTTTTTTTGGAGAGCAAAGAGATTTATTTTCTCTGAAAAAAGGAGCTGACTTTAATAAATAGTTTTTTTCTCGGGAAAATTAGACTACTAGAATTCTATCTAAAACTCGGAACTACGTGAAATGGATAGTAGGAAACAACACAATAAATAATTAACTAAATTTGACTAAGGAACTAGATTAAAGAACTAATTCCGTTTGAGGAATTGTTGTCATTATCACTCCTACATCAGTATCAGTATTCAGCCGAAATATTGCTCGAATTTTATTAAAAAAATATAACATTGGAATCTAGGAAACCGAGAGCGCTAGCCATTTGTTTGAGTGAAGTCGGTGTATTCATAAAATTAAACTAGAGAAGTAAATTAAAGAACTAGTTCCGGGTATGGCCTAACCCTTTTTTGTATTAATTAGATGAACTTCGAAAAATAAGAATTATGCTAAGTAATTTTAAACCATAGACTTAAGAACTATTGTTAGACAACAAGTTATTGAATAATTATGTTTAGAGAGAGAGAGAGAGAGAGAGAGAGATGGAAAAAATAAAACTTGAAACTTGTTTAATCAAATGCTTGGTTTTTTTGTGTTGGTGTATATTGGTGCTCTTTTCTCTCTCTCTTGTTGATGTGGTTTTCTCTGATGCAGAGCAGAAGAGTTGTTGAGAGTATTTTTTTGAAATCAAAATAGTGTTTTAATGTCTTCAATAATTATTTTAAGAAAATAGTATTATTTTACCCGATTTAATAAACCCAGGGGTTTGAAAGATCATTTCCATTGAAAAAAAAAATCGTCATAAAAGAGTTTTTCCGCTACAAGCCTCCTTTAAATATTTAAGTTAATTTTAATTCTCATTTTTTTGTTTTCTTCTTTATTTTTCTTTTCCAGGCTATCATCTATGAGGGCCAAGATAAAAATCCCGAAATGTGTCGGGTACTGTTAACACATGAAGTTATGTGCAGGTAAGTTTGCAAAAATTTGTTTTCTCTACCCCTCCCTTCCCTTCCATCCTTTTCTGCAACTTTCCTACAAAAAAAAAGAAAATATTTTTTTTTCTTTTTTTTTACATTTTAACTATCTACCGCTTATTTGCATAATAAAGTTATGAGCGAAGTGAATCATTGCCAAGCAAAAACCAAGAGAAAAAAGAGGTTGCACTTGCCAATCCCTCGGGTATTTATGGGAAAAAGGAAAATAACACTTTGGTTATCCTTTAACAAGGATAGGAGGCATGATATTTGCTTGGATTTTTTTGTATACAGTGTCGGACAAAATGTATTGAACTTAAATTATATTTTTAGTATTTTGCACTTTGAGATCACAATTCTAAAAACGGAACTTGTAATTTGGTTTCAAATTAAAATGCATATATATTTTTTTTTTTTTTGATTTCGTACTGTTATCATCAAAATGAACACGAATTACTTGAAAAGGTAGCGACAAAACAAATTGGACCATTGCAAATATTAGCAAAACAACAATAACATGTGACGCAATAATTAGCTCTTGTTAGTCGGTTAATATTTTTACAAAAGTTGAAGGTGGCTGCCTACGAAATAAATGGCGCAAAATAAAAACAACGAACATTTCAAAGAATTAATAATTAAAGATTTTCGACAAGGATTATCACAAAAAGATATTTGCAAAAAGTATGGTTTACCGAAATCAAGCTTCAGCTTCATTATAAAAAAATTTACAACAACCGGAATACTCGAAACTGTTCACTGCGGTGGCCGTTCAAGGGCCACAACCTCGAAAGACGATGCAAGAATATTTAGAGAATTCCAAAAATATCCGGCTAAATCAGCTACGAGTGTGGTAGAAACTCTCAAATTAAGTATAAGTAGTCGAACCGTACAAAGAAGAGCATGTGCTGCTGGACTTAAAAGTAACCGGGCCGGAAAAAAAGCCGTTCATATCGGAAAAAATAGAAAAAGCTTGAATAAAATTTGCCGAAGAACACATCACAGTTGGTCTATACCGAAGTGGAAAACCGTTTTATTTTCGGATGAATCAAAATTTAATTCAAAATTGTTCTGATGGAATGAAGAGAGTACGGAGACCAATAAGTAGGAGGTTAGATCCACGATATTACCAAGGCACAGTAAAGCATGGGGGAGGTAATGTGATGGTCTGGGGTTGCTTTCCTTGGAAATGGACTAGGACCACCCATACACAAACTAAATGGGATTATGGATAGATTCATGTACCAAGAAATCTTGCAAAGTGTTATGTTCTGCCATGCAGAATGGAATATGCCACTGGTATGGTAATTTCAGCAGGACAATAATCCGAAACACATCTCAAGACATGTAAGAGATTGGTTTGGAATCTCCGATTGAAAATTTTTTGGAAAATCGTAAATAAAAAGATAAATAGCGAAGGTGTGGGAGGAGATAAGGAAAAACTTTTTTGAGCCTTGGTATATGCTTGGAATGCTATAGACAAAGCAACGATAGACAACTTTATTGCTTCCATGGCCAGAAGATGTGCAGCCGTCCTCAAAAACAAGGGATTTTCCACAAAATATTGATTGCATTGTTTGGTTCAATATGTTTTGTCGCGTGACATATTTTAGTTTTTTTTTTTCATAACAAAAGTTTAATTTTTTTTTTTTTTTTAAATTTAGAATAAATCCTATTTGTTTTTATAGAATAAAATTTATGTTTTGAATTTCAATGCATATTTGGTTTTAAACTTGAATCATTTGATATGTTTATGAAGTTTAATGAAAATTGAAATTTAGTCCAATATGTTTTGTCCGACACTGTATATTTGCATTTCTTTTTTTTTTTTTGGTAACAAGAAAATCTCTAGGATACAAATCAGTTGTTAGCTTTGACTTCACACTTAAATTTGTGCAGAAAAAAAAATATAGACTTGTTTGATTTTCGTTACCTAGACTTTTTGGAAATTCCTTTGTCTTTTTCTGTTTCCATTTTTGCCTGTCTCTAACGAATTTCCACTCGTTAGTCAAATCATTTACACAATCACAGGCTCCTCAAAATCCCCCTGTAATGAAATGAAAAAGTGTTTGATTTGTCCAGAGAAAATAATATCCTTTTAAGCGTCTAACACTTTTCCTAAGCCATTGATGCCAGGACATGATGGTCGGACCATTAATTCTTGTCTTGTTTTTCTCTTAGCTTCTTTTTCTTCTTGTTTTTCCTTTGCCAAGAAAATGGCCTTGCTCTTGGCTAAACTCTTTATTAGACCTTCCCCCCTCCATGGTAGCTTCTTTCATCGGCCTTGATTCTGCGTATGTCCACTTTTTTTGGACCATGGTCCTGGCCATGCTCATAAAATGGAGTTAACATTCTATACAATAGCCATTATGGCCACACAAAACATGATGTGCCAATCTCCTTCTCCCCTCCTTCCTTCCCTCCTCTTCCCTTGTCTTTTTAGGGGGCCACATAAGCAGCCATGTCATCATCATCGTCATCCTTGTAATGTTTGTTTAAGCTTTGGCAACTTTTATCCTTACATTGGGTCTGTTGTCATTTAAGCATGTCTCTCTCTCTCTCTCTATGTGTGTGTGTTACCCTTATCCCTTACAACATAACACACTCATCGTCCTGAGTCCTTGCTATGTTTAAAGGATATGTTTTTATCTTTGTATGTCACTCCTTTTGCTTCTCGCTTTTTTTTTTTGTGGGGCGACAAAAGCAAAAACTTCTACTAAAACTTGTTTCGAGGACATAGATAGGTGTGTGTGTGTGTGCGTGTAGTCTATTGTTCTCTGATAACATAAAGAATATTTGGCATTTGGCCATAATTTTACGCATTAAAATAATATTGAGTATTACAGCATTGATATCGATACCACAGGTAGGAACATTACCACTGCTAGTGTTTTGTCCAAAAGGAGAAGAAGAATTATGATCCTTTCTAATAATACCCTTGTTAGTGGAACAATGTGAATGGTGGAAGATGCTATGGCAACTTAAAGAGAAGCTGAACAATTATGACAAATATTGAAAAAAATAAAAATAATTCTGAGTAGATCGAAACGTCATAATTTTTACATTTTTTTCTTAAATTTCATTGAATGAAAGAAAAAAAATTTCGGAAATAGCATCAAATTTTAGAATGAGTTTAGATTTGTTCGAATTGGTCACCTTTGGCACGAATTATGGCCTTCAAACGGCCAATGAAACCATCACACGCTGCCCGAATGTTGCTCAGCGGTATTTTGGCCCATTCCCGGCGAAGGGGGTTGCTTGAGATGATCAGCACTTTGGTATTTTCTTTAGTGCCAACCATGCTTTCCAGAAATACTCCAGACACAAGAGACCAACGGATTGGTATCCGGAGATTTTGGTGGCCATTGTGCACTGGAAATGAAGCGAGGAACCTCATTTTGTAACCATACTTGGGTGGCGCGTATCGAGTGCAATGGTGCTAAGTCCTGTTGGAATGTCCAAGGTCTGCGTTAAATGGCTTAAGCCAACAAATTAATGACAAATTTTGAAAGGCTGGTGTGTCAAACTGGTTCCGATGTTCCTTTTTGTGTCATTTCAAATTCGTCATCAGATTCACTCATCAAAAGACGAATGTTTCAAACTAGTTCCCCAGTTCCCAGTTTATGAATTTGAGTGCCTCTTTTCATTTCAAATTCGTCATGAGTTATGAAAGCTTTTTAGGATGACTCCTGATTGGAGAATTAGATGCCTCGTAGATTTCAGATTTAGTTTTAATTTTATTAATTCAAATCTCAATACTAACATAGGTTAATTGGCTTAAGCCAACAAATTAATGACATATTCTAAAGACTTTGACACATGAGTCTGGTTCCGATGTTCCTTTTTGTGAATTTGAGGACCTCTTTTCATTTAATATTCGTCATCAGATTTACGCATTTATTTTATTTTCCATTTTTTTTTTTTTTTTTTTTTTTTTTTTGGATCAGAGCTGTTTGAAATGAGTCATGGTTGGAGAATGAGATCTTTCATAGATTTTGGATATGGATTTATTTTCAATTTTATTAATTCAAATCATAATACCAACATAGATTAAATGGCTTACGCCTAACTATTCTATAAATAAACATGCATTTATACAACGCCTACTTTACCCGAATATGTTGCAGTTTTCCAAATTTACAAACTAATTACAGATTTCAAAAAGGGATTTTGCCAACTGGTTCCCATGGTCCTTTTTGTGAATTTGAGTTCCTACTTTCACTTCAAATTCGTGATCAGAATCATCCATCTATTTTATTTTTCATTTTGTTGTGGATTCAGTAGTCATTTCAAATTTAGTTTCAATTTTATTAATTCAAATCTTAATACTAAGACAGGTTAAATGGCTTAAGCCAACAAATTAATGACACATTTTAAAGACTCATGTTTCAAACTGGTTCCCATGTTCCTTTTTGTGAATTTGAGGACTTTTTCATTTCAAATACGTCATCAGATTCACACATTTATTTTATTTTCCATTTCATTTTTTTTTTTTTTTTTTTTTGTGGATCAAAGTTGTTTGAGATGAGTCCTGGTTAGAGAATGCGATCTCTATTAGATTTTGGATACGAATTTATTTTCAATTTATTAATTCAAATCTCAATACCAACATAGATTAAATGGTTTTAAGCCTAACTATTCTATAAATAAACATGCATTTATTCAACGCCGACAAATTAATGGCATATTTTTTAGACTCTTGTTTCAAACTGGTTCCCAGGTTCCTTTTGTGAATTTAAGTGGCTCTTGTCATTCCAATTTCGTCATCAGATTAACCCATTTTTTTTTGTAGGTGAAAGTTGTTTAGATGAGTTCATATTGGAAAAAGAGATCTCTCCTATATTTTAGATTCGGATATAAATTCATTTTTATTAATTCAAGTCTTAATACTATCAAATGGCATATTTTGAAGACGTATGTTTCAAACTGGTTCCGAAGTTCCTTTTTGTGAATTTAAGTGGTTCTTCATTTAAATTCATTGATTTATTTTATTCTGCGTTTTTCTTTTGCGGCTTTGAGTTGAACATCCGATTTAGACTAATGATCCCATTTTTGCGAAGGAAATAAATAAAAATTTTTTCTTCTATTGAATTATAGAATATTTCTCGCTCTCTAACCTCCCTTAATTATTTGTAAATAAAAGATTTGTTTTTATTGCATTTTTTTAATATTTCTCTTTTCCTTGTTGAAATTTCTCTTAAATTCCATTGCCACTTTAAAATTTTTCTGATATTTATTTTCTCTTTTCTCCTCCCCCGTTTCTTTACAGCCGCTGTTGTGACAAAAAAAGTTGCGGCAACCGCAATGAAACACCATCGGATCCTGTCATTATTGATCGGTAAGTAACCTTATATATACTTATATATCCTTACAACCATCTACAAAACTGAGAAGGAGAGAGGGCGCAAAAAATTGTAGTAGTCACAAAGTATTAAGTTCGGCTATAACAATATTATATCCAACGAACATCAATATCATAGTGACATTTTGCGTATTGAATATTTATCCTACGTTCGTCTTGCGATGTCTTCTTTGCAAGGCTGGCAAAGACATTGCACTCGGTCTCCCCTTGTTTATGTGGAGGGGCAATATGGAGGAGATGAGAGGCAGTAGCAGCAGCCTTTTGAAGTTGACATTTTAAGCAGCTTTTCATTATAATAAATAACAGACGCAAGGATATGACTCAATATTGCCAAGGATAAATATTTTCCTGTTTTTTTTTTTTTTGTATATCTGCCTGTCTGTATGATGCTATAGTATGGGTTACAATAAATTTTTATTGTAATAATTGAAGCATACTTTACATGCATTCAACTTGAGTTGGAAAAGAAACAAGAAAGGATGCAAGGATAGTGTATTAAATTCAATTTTATTTTAAGGTAATATTTTCTAAAAGTTCGGTGTTTGAAGAAAAATAGGGTCCAGAGAAAAACTGGTTAACCGATCTCCATAAAATTTGGCCAAGATATTTCTGAGCTGTATTCGATATATTTCCCTGAATATCGTTGTTACGGAGTGCATATTACGGCTGTGGGTAACAAATATAACAAATCGGATGAACAATATATATGGGAGCCATAGCTATATCTGAACCGATCTTCACCAAAATTGACATACTAGCTTCTAGACTCAATTCGGTCGTATGTGCCAAATTCCATTCAATTTGGACAAATATAAGACGTTTGGTGCGCAATCCAAAGTAAATCGGACGAAGTTATATATGGGAGCTATATCCAAATCTGCACCGATCTCGATAAAATTTGGCAAAGGTATTTCTGAGCTGTATTTGTTATATTTCCCCAAATATTGTTGTTATAGAGTGCATATTACGGCTGCGGAGGACAAAATTAAAAAAAAAATCGGATGAACAATATATATGGGAGCTATAGCTATATCTGAACCGATTTCAATCAAATTTGGCATACTTATTTTCAGGCCTAATTTGGTTGTATGTGCAAAATTCCATACTATTTGGGCTGATATTACACGTTTGGTGCACAATAAAAGCCAAATCGGACGTAGATATATATGGGAGCTATATCTAATTTTTTACCGATCCAATCTCCAATTTCAATAGGGTTCGTCCTTGGGCCAAGCAAATGTTGTTTGGAAAATTTCATCTCAATCGGATAATAAATGCGACCTGCATTTTGTTCACAAGAATACATGGACAGACGGACCAGCGGACGGACGGACGGACGGACGGACGGATAGAGTGATTGACATGCATAAATCAATTCAGAAAGTGATTCTATGGAGATCCTCAAAAGTAACTATGGGTCTATCTCGCTTCCTTCTCCATGTTACAACCAAATGCACAAAGACATAATACCCTTACCACTATGTGGTGTAGGGTATAAAAACATTAAGTTCGGCCGGGCCGAAATTTTAATACCCTCCACCTTATCCTAAGGAAACATAAGAACCCATTATGACCCTCAAACGCCAATTTTTACCCAAATCCGCAAAGAAACGAGCCAAAAATCATCAAAATATTTAAGATCTGGAGGTACCGTCATATGGGGACTATACCAAAACGTGGACCTATACATCCAATGTCTTGCCACTCGAGCTGGGACCCGTCATGACCTACAAATACCAATTTTTAGACAAATCCGTGAAAAAATGTGGCAAAAACAATCAAAATACCGAATATCGGGAGGTACCTTTATATGGGGGCTATACCAAATCGTGGACCTATACTTGCAATGTCTCGCCACAACAGCTGGGACCCGTCGTTACCTACAAATGCCAATTTTCAGACAAATCAGCGAAGAAATGTGGCAAAAATCATCCAAATACCGAATATCGGGAGGTACCATTCTATGGGGACCATACCGAAACGTGGACCGATATATCTCATTTTCAAAGCCAACAATCATAGACACAATACAAATTGCTCTGCTAAATTTTGGCGCTCTACGTCAAATAATGTGGGCTATATCGTGATTTCAACAGGCAGACAGGACATCGTTAAATCGACTTAGGGGTCTACAACTAATATTTGGGGATGTAGGGTATACAAAAAGGTGAAGGGTATACAAAATGGGATTTATTTGACAAATATACAATGGAATTGATAATTTAAATCTACTCGTTTTACTAAATCCGCTTAACTATAAACGTCCCATAATTTTCGAAATCATCATCAAAATATATTTCCAAAAATTAGTTCCTAATTCAGCCTTGCACAAATAATTAGCCACTTCCCCCCTGATTCCCAAACTTATTTTCTTTTTCCTCATTGCCTTCTGCCAACATTTCACAAAGTCATTTACATTAACTGGCTTTACACGTGACATGCTCACGTGTCGGCAAATTATGTTTACTGGTGGCATGCCTTACAACCTACAACCAACCTCCTCGTCATCATCCGAATTTCCAAAACATGCGGGGCCAAAAACAACAAAACGACCACAACATGAGAGGAGGACATCTCTCATTTGTTTTATGAACGATGTAAATTGTTGTTGTTGTCTGTTAAACAACAGCCATGACATGTCGATAATTTTCCGTTACAAACAAATGGAACAGGGTTGGTGGTTTTTTTTTTTGAGAGGGACCGTACGAAAAACACAAAAATTTAAATATATATGTTGTTGTTGCATTTTTAAAAATATTGAACATATCGGGAAATAAATTTTGGCAAACGCATGTTGTTTTGTTATGTTCGACATGGAAAAAGGAAATTGGAAAGAAAAAAAAAAAAAAAAAGAGGAGGAGAAGAGATACTCAACTCCTCACAGTGGAAATAGAATTGAACACACTTTTGCCACATTAAAAACGGTTTAATTTGTTTTTGTTGGTTTAATTACTTAACAAAAAAAAAGGAATTTGGAAAAGCAACTCTAAACCGAATTTTTTAATTGTCTGATAATTTTTATTGGAATGCTCATTTGAGCATAACCTCAAAAAGAGTAAGGTTGACGAGTAGGAATTGACAATTTAATTTCGTCTCATTAAAAAAAAAAAATAATAATAATAATAATAATAAATAAAAAATAATCGTGGAATCTTTTAAGGATCGAATATAATCGGAAAAAATCTAATCATGCGAACCCTAAACATAAAATCAAGAGAGGAGTTGATATTCACTAGTCGAAGCCTATGTTTATTGAACACAGATTGCTTACTGAACACAGCCAAAAATTAAATAAACAAATCATTTCTGGAAAAGATTACTCAGTCGTTAAAAATAATTCTAAAAATAAACCCATTGGAGATTTTTTTTTTTTTTTCAAAATGATAAACCAGTAAAGAAAGTCTTAAAGTCGGGCGGGGCCGACTTTATGATACCCTACACCACTTCGCTAATTTAGTAGAGCTCCGCATAAAAATTAAAAGTTTTTATGGGAGAATTCAATCATACACGCTATGATTATAATTATAATTTAAAGTACAAAGGACTAAATATGCCGAAGCATTTGTATCTTTTAAATTCGGACCTGTATTACCCATTTGGTGCACAATTAATTTGAAATCGGATAAAATATATATGTGAGCTAAATCCAAATCGGAACCGATCTCGATAAAATTTGGCAAAGATATTTCTGAGCTATTTTTGATATATTTCCCTGAATATCGTTGTTACGAAGTGCATATTACGGCTGTGGGTAACAAATATGACAAATCGGATGAACAATATATATGGGAGCTATAGCTATATCTGAACCGATCTTCACCAAATTTGGCATACTAGCTTCTAGGCTCAATTCGGTCGTAAGTGCCAAATTCCATTCCATTTGGGCAAATATTAGACGTTTGGTGCACAATAAAAGGTAAATCGGACGAAGTTATACATGGGAGCTATATCCAAATCTAAACCGATCTCGTTAAAATTTAGCAAAGGTATTTCTGAGCTGTATTTGATATATTTCCCCAAATATTGTTGTTACAGAGTGCATATTACGGCTGCGGAGGACAAAAACAAAACAAATCGGATGAACAATATATATGGGAGCTATAGCTATATCTGAACCGATTTCCATCAAATTTGGCATACTCATTTTCAGGTCCAATCTGATTGTACGTGCAAAATTCCATACTATTCGGACTGATATTACACGTTTGGTGCACAATAAAAGGCAAATCGGACGAAGATATATATGGGAGCTATATCTAAATTTTGACCGATTATCTCCAATTTCAATAGGGTTCGTCCTTGGGCCAAACAAATGATTTGTGTAAAATTTCATCTGGATAGGGCAATAAATGCGAACTGTACTTTGTTTACCAAAATACATGGACAGACGGACGGACGGACGGACGGACGGACGGACGGACGGACGGACATGCATAAATCGACTCAGAATGTGATTCTATGCAGATCATCAAAAGTAACTATGGGTCTATCTCGCTTCCTTCTCCATGTTACAAACAAATGCACAAAGACATAATACCCTGACCATCTTGTGGTGAAGGGTATGAAAAAAAGAAACCAACCATGGGAACTCCTTCACAACTCCTTTAACAGATGATATTGATATCCACCAGTTAGAGCTTATGTTTATTGAACACAGATTGCATACTAAACACAGCCAAAAATTACGGGGTGAGATAAAAAAGCGGCAACAAAGTCAAATGCCATATTTTTACATTTTTTTAAAAATTTTATTGAATTAAGCAAAACATCAAAAGCATCAAATTTTAGAAATTTCAGTTTAGATTTGTTCGAATAGGTCACCTTTGGCACGAATGGGTGCCATTTTACCTTCCGCCACATTACGTTTGAATTGGCGCCCAATATGAATTGGGCAACAACTGCTTCCTACTACTACTACTCCTACAATAGACTAGAATAGTTGGCAACCTAATACATTCAAGGCGAGAAACAGCTGT